TCATTGCATACTGTAAGCTCCATTTCTCAGTCTTGTATCCCTGATTTCTTCCCCCACTGCCCTTGAAGTGACAGATTTGGAGACACACAAACCATCTGGCTCCAGTTCACATATTATCTCAGCTTTAAAATAAGGGGACTTTGCTAACATGAGATACTCAATCTCAAATCTATACACATATTTTAAATAAAATTTGTTAACAATTTTATACATGCATATAGTGCATTCTAGTAACTCTACCCTAAACACACCTTCTTATCTCCCTCCAACTCCTGGCAGCCCCTCTTCTTCAGTACAAATCTCATTTCCACATTCATAAAGTTTTGCTTTGTGTCTCACAGAGTTTAACTGGGGCCATCTGTGTTCCCATGGGTTTTGCACTATCCAGTAAAATATAGTGAGCTCACCAGCAGACATACAGATAGAATGTATACCTCCCTTGTCTCCATAATCTGTTAATGGCCAATAGTTTAACAGTTAGTGGTACTGTCCCTGTGAGCTTCTTCCCGTGTCCTGCTGACTTATGGGTAGGCCCTACTTGTTTAGTCCAGAGACAGTAGGTACAGGTGCTAAGAGTCCATTGTGGCCATGGTCATGTCATGCTTAGAAGAGAGCATTTCACAACCCTTCTCCATACCTTCTGTTCCTACATTCTTTCCAGTTTCTCTTCCACAATGTTCCTAGAGCCTTAAGGGTGTGGTAAAAATATCTACTTATATGGATGAGTGCTCAACCATTCCCTATTCTCAGTATCCTACACAGCTTTAAGTATCTACATTCACTTCCACTCACATAAGTGAGAGACTCTTCTGAGGAACACAGATGGCAGCTTTTTCTGTGGTACAAACACAGATATTTAAAAGGGCTTTCATGCTATGTGTAGTATGAGGCCACTTGTTTGTTTCCCAGCCGCCCAGCAGCTCAGACCCGAAATAACCACACAGAAACTGTATTAATTAAAACACTGCTTGGCCTATTAGCTCTAGCTTCCTTTTTAGCCAGCTCTTACATATTAATTTAACCCATCTCCATTAAACTGTGTTTCCCATGAGGCTGTGGCTTACTGGGTAAAATTCCAGCCTCTGTCTCCAGTGGGGCTACATGGCTTCTCTTGACTCCACCTTCTTTCTCCCAGCATTTAGTTTAGTTTTCCCTGCCTAGCTCTGCTTTACCCTATCACAGGCTCGAAACAGCTTCTTTATTAGCCAGTGGTATTCACAGCATACAGAGGGGAATCCCACATCAGCTATGTCCATTTAACTAAGCGGCAATAATAGCTTCTCTCAAGGGACTAAGATTTAGAAAGACCTGGGTTTGTTTACCCTACTAACTTTCTATTGTAGGGATAGATTCTATCTTGTGATTGGGCCTGAAATGTAATGAGGTAGATAATGGTTGCTCCCATCACTCTTGTGCCACTACTGCAGCAAAAGGACCATCTGGCCTATCAGGAAGGTTGCTGGTGTCTTTTTCTTCTCAGCAGCCTGCATAACACCATCTGGCACTATAAAAGTTTGGCATCAAAAGAAAGCTTCCAACTCAGTTCCAGTTTGAATTCTCTATACCACATACCCAAGATGTGTGGTGTCTTCAGCAACAATGTCTTCTTCACTAGTTCTGATGGGGAACAGAGAAGAATGAGTGCACCTATATTGTCTTGGGGACCTGCAGGGCCTCCCCGACCAAAAGCTCCTATGAAGATATTCCACAACTGGAACTGGGTTTTTGTTTTGAAACACATTACTTCTCAGACTTCCAATTTCAAACCTCGTAGGGTGTCTTCCATTCTAACTCCTTTATGACTTTTATGTTGGATTACCAATTAATAAGTTTCATTGTGACTTTTAAATACTGTCTTCATTTTCTGGGATCCATCCCACTGACCTACTCATCACCTTCGCTCCCACCCCTCTTGCTGTTTGAACATCTCTGTTCCCAATATTTCCTCTCTCCCCTCATTTTGCCAATACTGTATTCCTTTTCTCCCTGAAGCCCTGCCCATTTCTAGTTTTCTGGTTTCCAGAGGTTCACCAAGTTAAACCCACAGAACTAAAGCCTTCAGGGTAGAAGCTGCATGTGAGAGATTGGTGGTTTTCTTTCTGGGCCTGGCTTACCTTTCCCAATATTTTTCCTGTTGTGTACACTTGCCTTTCATAAGGCCATTTTCTTTATACCTGAATAAAATTCCATGGAATACATGTAGCAAACATTAATTATCAGCTTAACTGTTGATGGACATCTTAGATACTCTGACCAGAAGTTCCATAAGCTGGTTGTGCAAATGTCTCCTTGGTATAAAATATATTCCTTTGAATATATTACCAAGAGTGGTGTGGCTAGGTTATATGGTAGTTATATTGCCAGTTTTTAAGAAGCATCCAGAATGATTTCCACATCAGCTGCACTAGTTTGAACTCTAACATGCTAGTGTATGTGTTTCTCTGTCCCCACATACTCCAGCATTCATTATCATTTGTTTGTTTGTTTGTTGTTAGTTTTTTGAGATCGGGTTTTATTGTGTGTAACGCTAGCTATCCTGGAACTAACTCTCTCTCTCTTTCTCTCTCTCTCTCTGTAGACCAGGCTGGCCTCAGATTTACAATCAACCAGCCTCTGCCTCCTAAGTGCTGTGATTAAAGGTGTGCACTACAACAGCCCCTCCTTCATTAACATTTATATCCTTGATAGTGAACAATCTCAACAGATGAAATGGAATCATAAATAATTTAAATTTGTGTTTTCCTAATTGCTAAGAGTTCACTAGCCATGTGTATTTCTTCCTTTGAGCATTTTGTTACTGCTCTGGCCAATCCTAGAATTGGGTTATTTTCCTGACATTTAGGTTTTTTAGTTCCATCAGTATTATCTTCTGTTATCAGATGTTAGCTGGGAAATTGTTTCTCCCATTCTTGATTGTATCTTCGCTCCATTAAGTTTCCTTTTCTATGCAGAACTTTTTTAGTGTCCTGAGATGTGATTTATCAACTATTGGATCTATTTCCTGTGTTACTGGAGTCTTATTCACACAATCCTACCTTCTGCTTCTGTGTTGACATGTTCTCCCTACTTTTTCCTCCACCGTTTCAGAGTATTGGATCTCACATTGAGGTCTTTGGTCATTTGAAGTTGATTTCTAAAGGGGAGGTATAGGCGCCTTGTTTACTCTTCCCACGTGTTGGCTTCTCAGTGCCATTTGTTGAGCAGGCTGCGTTCTCTCCAAAGTATATTTTGGGTTATTTGTCAAAGGTCAGTGGTTATGGGGATTTTATCTAGGTCTTCCTTCTATTCTGTTGATCTGCACATCTTTTTGCTATGTCTGTAATATTAATTTGAAATCAGGTGTGATGAATCTTTCCACAAAATTATTTTTGTTCATAATTACCTGGACATCTGTGTTGCTTATAGTTCCACATGTGTTTCAGCATTTTTTCCACTCTGTTTGTGAAAAATGTCCCTGGCATATAGATTGAGACTGCTTTGAGTATGTAATGTGCTTTTAATGGGGTGGCTATTTTCACATATTGATTCTTCCAAACAAATGAGCATGGCAGGGGGTGCCCTATCACCTTCTAAGGCCTTCCTCAATTTCTTTAACATGTATCTTAACATTTTTCGTGTAATGTGGTTTCATTTCCATGGTTAGATTTTTCTGTCCAAAATTTTTGGGGGTTTTATTTGTTCGTCTATTGTAGACTCATCCATATTTTCAAGCTGACAAGAAAAAACAAATAGGGAAATTTCTCAAGTGATGCTGTTACTTCAGCACAGTCTTAGTTCAGCCCTCACAATGCCCAAACCAAGCTTTCCTAATCAGTTCCTCTGGATGCCCAGCCCTTGACAGCTGTCACACAGTCATGGCTCCTGCTCCTGAGCTGCTACAAACAGGCTCCTCATGTGGTCAGAGAACAGGCTTTGCTCAGCCTCATCATGAGTGAGTCAGTTGGAGAACTGACCTGCCCCAGCATCAGCCAGGGTTTGAATCTTATCTTCAGCCCCTACTTCTCAGGCAATGACTTAACTTGTTTGAGTCTGACCTTCCTCAACTGTAAACTGATGGTCAGAATGAGTAACTCATAGGATGAACAGAAAGGTTAAAATACTGTTCATACCCATCTCATAGTGTGATCCTTAGCTGATGGAAGCAATATTGCTAATTTTCTTTATATTAAACCAACCTCTTCTACGTGTTAATTAATTTTAGTTGGGACTCATTAATATCTATTCCCTTCTACATGAGAAAGGATTCAGATACTGGAAGATTATAATCATGGCTGTCTTGTGTCCTCAATCTTAAATTTTGGTTTTTAAATTCATGGTCACTCTGTCGTTGTCTTCATTAGATGCTCGAGTTTATCTGCAAGTCAGGATGCACCAAGATGACCCAGTTAGCATAGAGTGTGAGGAATATCATCCTTCCTTCCTACAAATGAAACCAGTGCTTCCAATACTACAAACTCAGTCATTCAGATGACTTTGCTAAACTGTTAGAGAAGCGTGAATTTTAGAGTCTTCTCAAACTCTTGGGACTTATTCACGAGCTCAAATTTATTAACCCCTTCACTTGACGCTAAAATCTGTTCTATGTGTTCAGTCTTACTTCATACTGTTTCTGCCATAAAATCAAGAACATGCGTTTGTGACATGTTAGTGTACAAGGTCAAATCAAGAAAATAGCTTTCTACCAAGAATCAAATGTCAAATTATTTAAGCCAATGAGGGACTTAGTTAGTTCTGTATGAAAATTCAATCTATGATAAAGCTGAGTCTGTGATCTTGTGGGAGAAATGTCTATTTCCTCATTCACATTTTTTTTTCTCTTAATGTTGTTAGGCCTGGTGCCCAGATTCCTTGTGTGAGTAAGGAAATGTTCACCTTCCAGATTATATCAGAATTTATGTAGCTCATTCTCAAAATCTCAGGCGCGGTTGTGAGTTGCACAGAGAGCACTGAGTGTCGATGACAGACATCCTTACAGATGCTTCATCTCTCCTGTCTTCCAGGGGACCTCAGACCTGCACAGCCCATGATGCCTGCAGTTCAAAAAGGTAAGAAACAACTATATGAGGCCAGAGAAACCAATAGCAATCTGCTGGGAGATCATCTGACCTTTGAGACAATGGCAATGAGAAAGGAGGGAACCTCACTAACTCACCAGGACAGGTAGAAGAGGTGCCTGCTTAGGACAGAGTTCCTCTCACGCCCCTTGCTGCTTCCCATGTTGACAGCAACTCCACCCACTCCCAATATGAATATCCCACCATTAAGTCCCCCTTCCCAGTCAGGCAAATTGTCAGACTAGTAACTGGCATAAGGAGGGCACCGATATTTTTCAAATGATCTTCCATAGGAAAAAGGGAGCCAGGGGTGCAGATGAAATGCATAAAAATAGCAAGAAGTGGGCAGCGAGTGAGAGAGACCATGGAGAAGCCTTTCTATGCTCACTGTCAGCCTCATCTTCGCCCCTAGATATTCCTGCCTCACTACACTTCATAGACCAGCATAGGGAGCAGCTGGTGGCCCGAGTGACATCAGTGGACCCTCTCTTGGACAACCTGCTGCAGTGTCTGGTGCTGAGTGAAGAGGAGTATGAGGCTGTGCGGGCTGAAGTTACTAACCAAGACAAGATGCGGAAGCTCTTCAGCTTCAGCCGGTCCTGGTCCAGGGCCTGCAAAGACCAAGTCTACCGAGCTCTGAAGGAGACCCATCCTTACCTGATCATGGACCTCCTTGAGAAGTCAAGCAGTGTCTCCGTGGGATCCTGACATCTTAGTGGCTGAGGTGTGAGCATTCACGTGAGCATTCCTGGCTCTGCTCTGCCCTAAGTTTCTACATCTATAACCCAGTGGCCACCTGAGTTGCTTTCCTGGTGGCATTGTTTCCAAGAGACTCTTGGGGACCCAGATATTCCCTCTTGGCCTTCCCCAGACGTGTGTTCATGTGGGATGGGCATCTCAGTAAATATCTCCAGTGGAACCATCAAGTCATTCAGGCCTTGTCCAGTCTGCTCTCATGACCTGAGTGGCCAGGCTTGTGCCCACCTGATCTTCCATGATTCAAACAGAACTGGGGAACATGGGAATGGAGACAAAAGATGGTACTTTTCCATGAAAATGAAAGGAAGAGGGCTTCTTAAACATTTCCTATTCCTTTTACCCAAATAATTTTTATATAATTCTGGGTATGTAGATATATAAGTACATAAATCAAACATTTTTACTCAAAATTAATCTTAAATAAATTTATTTTTAAACAACTCTTTGTTGTGATATAATTTTACCATTTGTTAAAGATGAAAGCAAATTTTCAATCTAATTTAGTGGATGTATTTGTTTATTTTTGCATAAGGAATTAAATCTCTATTGAATAGTTGGTGCTACAGACACAGGGAACCTTAGTGTCTCACAGAGTTGGTGGATATTTTGCATTCCTGGTACTTAGTGCAGATGTGCAGTGCACATTCCAGAAGCTGGTGGAAAGTCTGTCCTAATCCCAGGACAGAATTCACTTAGCATCTCTTTATGTAACTCATTAACAACTTAAAATACAAATTTTAAAACCAAATGTTCTCATATAATACAATGTAAAGATATGCTAACTTGATTCTTACATGCTGAAGAAGCAAAATAGGAAAATATTTAAATCTTTATGTTCCATAATGAAGCTATCATGTTTCCATAAGAGCAGAAAATCTTGTATGTACAGGGTGAAGAGTCTGAATTTCCCATCACTTTATATAATTGAATTTAGGTTTCAGTTCTTTAAGGATGAACAAGTTCCTTTCCCAACAAAGGACTTATCACAGTCGACAGAAGACTTAAGAGAGGACCCATGTCTCCCTCTCACCCCATTGTGATAAAGTTCACCCAAAAAGGAAAAATACCCTAAAATGGGAAGAGAGAGGGACCTGGAGGCCAATGCTATGCTCATCAGTCAGAGATTTTGAATTATCCTTCATTATCATAATATAATTTATATTATCATTCATATATTACATTGTCCAAACTGTTAGCCAAAAATAGATCCCACTGGGACCCAACCCCATCCTCCTGTTGGTACTCCAGATGCTGGTTCCTACTCAACAGCCACAAATTTCTGCCACAAAAGTCCCTTTGACTCATCCTGGATCTGATGTCCATATGCTTGCTTCCCTGACCCTATCTACTCCTTAGGACCTCCTAAAGGCAACCTTTATAGGGTTCTAAACACCTCTCAGTCTGAATGGACCACTGACTGCCAACTTTGCCTGGATACACAACCTCCTTACTCCGAGGGTATAGTTGTGTGCGCTAACTATATGCAGAGGGTATAATAGGTGTCCACTAACTATATGCAGACTTCAAAAGAGTCGTATTATGGATGGGCTAGGGGACAAGCCCCGGTGTCACCTTAGAAATGGCGCACAGCATGGACAGTATTGTTAGCCAAAGGAAACAAATTGCCCTCACTGGTATACACCTTTGTAATGAGAGCCAAATCTTCCCCTAAGGTAGCTCAGACTCTCTGGTACCTCTGATCATGCCTGCAGGGCCTGCTCCTTAGGCCTCACCTCTTGTGGTCACTCCCAGATCCTACACCAAATGGGAGAATTCTGTGTCTTGGTTCCACTCACACCTTGCATCCTCTATCAAACCAATGAGAAAATAGAAAGACAGCTCCTTCCCTCCCCAAGGCCAGACATAAAGGATCCCTGGGGGCAGTCACTGTTCTAGTCTCAACTCTACTCAGATCTGGGTTAGCTGGGTCAGCAAGACTAGGGACTTCAGTTCCCATATTGCAGGACAAAAAAACTGTAACTCCTAAGAGAAGCCATTGATAATAACCTCTTAGAGCTGGGGAAATCCATCGTTCACTTAGAAGCTTCCTTTTTTTTCCTGGCTGAAGTTGTTTTGCAAAATCATCATGGCCGAGATTAATAAGGGGGACTCTGTGAAGCCAGGAGGAAGCATAGCTGTTCTTATGCTAACCACTCTGGAGTAATCAGAGAATCAGGGTTAAAACAGCTCAAACAGCTGTCTAACTGGTCCTTTTGGCTCACCATGGTCCTCTCTGCAATAGACAGACTGTGATTTTGTTATTTCTCATTTTACTCTATAGTCCCTGCATTCTCAATGCCCCTATAAGATTCATTAAGGAGTGAATCTCCACAGTTCAGCTAATAGTTTTAAAAATCCCAATATCAGCCCCTAAATATGTCTCAAGGATTTGAGATGGAACCAAACTCAAGAGGGAATAAAGAGACTGAACTTCCCACCATTTGTACAACTGTATTTAGGTTTCAGTTCCCAAGAATGAACAACTTCCCTTCCTAACAACATCCCCTCTGACAGCAGGGATGAGGAAGAAAGCCAGTCACCACAGTGTCTCAAGGCAGTGACCAAAAAGGGCAGTTCTTGCAATTCCCCTGAAACATGTCCCACTGACCTGGCACCAGAGGGATAGCAAACAACCTCCACTAGCCGTGAAAACTCCCTGGGTCATACCTGGCCTAGCTGTGAAGTTTCCGCTCTGCCCCTAATCCATCCTTTGTGTTACAAACAGCTTTTGTTGCCCTATGTAAATCTTGTCTGAGAGTTTCCCATGGATACAAAGTCTATGCAAAATTTGGTTTAGAGGGAACCCAGAAAACCATGGTACCTCATGAATCAGGTATTTGCACCTGGCATTGTATTTTTGGAAGCTTCATTCAATTTGTTTGGAGATATGGAAATCTACTAGCTAAAGTATAAATACAGAAAAAAAAAATAAGATGCCTAGAGATGAAGGGAAAATGCTTCAGTTCACCGAGACTGAGCCCCCTCAGCCACAGAGGCCAAGTTCATTCTCAAGGGTCTCTGAGTCTTCATTTCAGAACCCGCATGAACCCACACCCCTGGGCCGAGTTACACGCCACACCCAGACGTGCCCAAATATGTCCAAAGAGGGTAAAATCAGAACCCCAGCCACCTATCACGTTGGAGATGATCTAACTGTTCATGGCATTCCCCTAGCTGTGCTTAAAAGGAGCCTGTATACTCCTCCAGTTCATAGCCATTTTGTACGAGTGGCCAACCCTGCGTGCTGGTTGTTTCTGCAGAATAAATGCTCTTTGTTTTTACATACTACTTGAACCTGCGGTCTTCCTTCAGAGATTCTCGAACATGTCTCGAATGGGACATGCTGTAATCAGAGCAAGCAATAGCCTAGACTAGGAGCCAAGATGTTCAAGGAACATTCGTTCGGGCTGTGGTGTGCCACTTCATGCAGTGCCAAGTACTCATGCTGTGTGCCCAGAGCCACAGGTGTGCACAAGTCACGTGGTGCAAACCGTATGAAGCACTGCAGGTTCAGTGCACAGTGTGAATTAATCTTGGCCATTGCATATGCACAAACCTTTTGGTTCTTAGCACAATATTGCAACTGCATTTAGTTCTGTCATCCTATGGGGAGGTGGGATTCACAGTTTAAGAAACTGATGTACAGTGCTGAGATGGGTGACTGAACAGCACCCACACCAGACAGCTCACAACTAATGCCATGGAGCATAAACTCCACGGGAACCAGCACACTATTTTGGACTCCATGGGAACCCACACACAGCTGCACATTAACATGCACATTTTCACACACACACACACACACACACACACACACACAAACTTTTTTAAATTTTTTTAAAGAATGATAATTCACAGTTGTCTCCTCTCCTCACCCATCTCTCAGAAGTGTCTATCTCACCAAATCTCACAGCGGCACTTGAGGCTTGAGAGGCTGTGTGCTTGTCCTGAGTGTTCTCATTCTGCTCACCTTCCCTGTCACCTGCTTCACAGCTTTAACGCCTGCCCTCTCTATCAGATCAGGAAGGCTCATATTATCACACAGCACATCCATATTTTCAGAAGGCACTGGTGTGGACGGAGAAAAAGAACATGCAGAGCAAGCACACTAGTAGACTTGTTATAACCAGAATCATCTGTAACATTGCCAAACGCGTATGTAGATGCCATAGATGCAATCCTGGGGCACGTAGGTGTTTTCTCCTTGGCCTGCAAGTAACACGCTCGTTTAGCTGCCACTGGGGGCCAGTGGGAACTGCATGTGGAGGGAGGCTATCCATTGCCATCTCCAGCATCAAGAGTCAAAAATATTCAAAGGATTTGGAACCTGAGAGCCACTTACTGAAATGAGTCTGTGAGCTGGACAGGCTACAGGGAGGAGAGGAAGTACAGAGATCCTGAAAGACTCCCGATTAGGGGAGACTCTCACTCAAGTCTCGGGATGACGCGAACCCCCCCAGTAACTCACGAGAGACCGTCCTTGCTGCAATCACACGAGGTTTAATGACAAGATGACAAGACGACAAGACGGGACCAGTGCACTGGGGCCGAGACTCATAACCCACGCAGGGGAAGAGTTCGACCTCGAGTGACTGGGAGAAGTAGTTTTTATAGGAAGAAACCACACAGCCCAGTAATCCGAAAAGGGGGGCAGGGAGGGTGTCACAGAAAACTCTGAAAATTCCAGTGATGATTACAAGGGGGCAACTCCCTGCCTCTCAAGATCATTCTCAAGGTCGTAATCAGCCAGTTCCTATACCAATGATAATTACTAGGGGGTGATAATTACTAGGGGGAATCTCTCTGTTTCTCAAGATTACTCTCAAGATTACAATCTACCTTTATCTTCAGCTAGTTCCTGAAACCCTGAAATTGGTTAATCCTAGATTTCTGATTCTTCTCTTCCTGCTAGATTTTTGGCTCTGTTTTCCTGCTAGGGGGATCTGGATTTATCCAGGTCTTTCAACCCAGAGCACAAATCTGGGAGATCCAGGAGTTTTGCTGAACTGGGACCTGTTGGCAATCTTGGAAGGCTGCACTTTAGAAAATGAGTGAAGTGAGGCTCAGACCTGAGTCCTGCACTCAGGAGGCCGGGCCTCTGCAGGCCTAGAAGAAGCTTTCAAACCTGACTCCTCCTCCAGCCCAAGCAGAGATTTCTCAACAGGAAATAAGCTGGATAATGTGGAGCCTCCACTCCCAGGGTTCAGAGGAAGAACGTCTAGCAGTCTCTGATGCCTGATGTTTCTGGGGGATCCAGTCTCTTCCACTTTTAAAGAGGAGGATTTCTACCTGAGGAGCCTTGGCCAGAGACGCACACACATCAGTGAGCCACATAGAGGAGCAGGGTGAGTAGTGGAAACACCAAAGTCCACCAAACTACGTGAATTATGGGAAGATACACCCTGGCCTGACTGCACTAAGCCATACTGTGGCAGACATG